ATTTTACTGGAACTTGCAGAGTTTGAGACACATTCCTAGCAAAACCATTTTTCCACAAAAGAGCATTTAAGTGCTATACATTTGTTGTTTCTCGCCCAAGAATTCTTAGGGAAAATTCCTAAGCTCCTGCGCCAGTCAGCTGCGTCATGACAGCAACAGCATTACAGAGATACAGACCTTTGCCTTTCATTTTGGTCAGTTTTTGTCGTGTGTGAGAGATGTATTAACCTCCAATATATATATATTTTTAGTAAAAGAACGCAGGCAGCGACTTATCCCGACCAATTATCCGGTTTGGTTGAGTGGTTTATTGAACGTATTGTCGCTTGACGAATGGGAAGTTTCTCTGAACAACGCAGGTTGGCTAGTTTTTGAATTTAAACTATATATACTTTTAAGCTTTATTGATATCTAAACTTTTTGCCTGTTGCAGCGAATTATCAAGGCACGGACATGTCGATTAGCGACTTTTATGCGCGCGCGAATGCTCTCGATTTGACAATTTGTGTGTATGTGCGGAGTGTTTCAGTGGCCGAGCAACATGCCGCTGCAGAAGGTCGTCCCAAAAGGTGGTTTTTTGTCGCGATATGGGTATTAAAAGTGAGCCGCATTTTCTCACGCGTGATATTTTCACACAAAAATTAGTTTGATAGGTTGGCTATTGACGAAAGTTGCTTGGATGGCTTTTTCACAAATTTGGTTTTGTTTAATTTGTTGTTCTGTCGGCCTTGGTAATGTACATTGCTAGCGGGCTTGGCGCAAGTAAGCAATCTTAAAAGCTTGCTGACTTAATGGAATTACAGTCCATTTATGATTTATTCGTTAGTGTAGATGATAGATTGGAATTGTCTCGGGCCGGGAAGTCGCTGCGGTTTTTGCTTCTATGGAATAGAGGCCGTAGGCAACTTTGTCGTGGGACTGTTGAAAAATGTGGAAGAAGCTACTTCCAAATGTAGTTAATTCTCATAAAGAGTGAAATTAAGGGCTGGAGTTTTTTGATTTTTGCCTTTGAGGCCTTGCTGTCTCAGTGAAACTCTCGGGTAATTTTGAAGTGCAGTAAAACCTCAAAAGTGGGAAATCCACCGTCATCGAAAGATTTATTGATTTTAGAATTTTTGTTGTGCTTTAAAGTGATCTGCAGTTTTTCTTTTTGCGACTGAAAATCTTTGCATGCATGAGTGGCTGATTTAATGGGATGATATGAAAATATTTCAGTCAAGCAAAGGAGAGAACCACAATTCTGTTGAAACCATTGCTTTCCGAAGTGGATTTGATGCG